ACCACCTACGTGATACGGGTAGTCACCATTAGAGGTTCACGGCGCCATAAGCTCATTGAACAGGCTTTGTGTGAAATATAACAGCGTCTAGGACTGCTTTTAGTATCCTGGTGGTCCAGAGGTAGCGTTCCCCGGTCACAGTCATGGTCTCGTGGGCCGTGGGTTCGAATCCTGGCGGGTTGAGGTGTTGATTGTATGTAGAAGTGCGCGTGCTTTATTGGGCTAATGAAATATATATATATATATATATATATATATATATATATATATATATATATATATATATATATATATATATATATATATATATATATATATATATATATATATATATATATATATATATATATATATATATATATATATATATATATATATATATATATATATATATATATATATATATATATATATATATATATATATATATATATATATATATATATATATATATATATATATATATATATATATACAGTTTTACCCCGCTTAACGCGTTTTCGCATATACACAGTGCCTTGCCAAAGCTGAACTTTCACTTAACGCGGGTTTTTTCCACATATACGCGGTGAGTGTCCGAGACGTTATTTTTAGATTTGCCCCACCCGCCACCCTGCCTGACTGCCTGTTTTAGCTCATAAAATTCATACAAATTACCAGGCCACAATATAATTTACATTGCTGGAATTCTTATAATTTGGTGATCATTTTGAATATAAACATCATATATTTTGCTTTAAACTTACAATTTTTAGATAAAAATTTTTCTCTAGGTAACTATGGTATCTTTTGTCCAAAATATATGACATTTATATTCAAAATATTCCTGGTCTTACAAGGAATCCAGCAATGTCAATTATATTATCCTAACTTTAGTTTGAGGTATTATTAATTAAAATTTAGTGGTTATCCCACACATCTCCTTGGGACGGTTGGTGGGGGGTGGGGGGGAGGGAGGGACCAACCGACCATCTGTTACCCTGTGAAGAATTATTATTTTTTTTTATTAACTGAAGATATTTGTTTTAGCTCATAAAATTCATACAAATTACCCGGTCAGAATATAATTTACATTGCTGGAATTCTTATAATTTGGTGATCATTTTGAATATAAACATCATATATTTTGCTTTAAACTTACAATTTTTAGATAAAAATTTTTCTCTAGGTAACTATGGTATCTTTTGTCCAAAATATATGACATTTATATTCAAAATATTCCTGGTCTTACAAGGAATCCAGCAATGTCAATTATATTATCCTAACTTTAATCTGAGGTATTATTTAATACTAAATGTTAAAAACTCTGGAAGGGAGGATTGGTGGGGGGTGGGGGGGAGGGTTGGGACTGACCGCGCGGTTGGAAGAGGGGGGGAGGGCAAGGTGGGGTACTTTGATTGACAGATAGTGTCGTGAAGATTATTTTTTTTTTATTAACTGAAGATATTTGTTTTAGCTCATAAAATTCATACAAATTACCCGGTCAGAATATAATTTACATTGCTGGAATTCTTATAATTTGGTGATCATTTTGAATATAAACATCATATATTTTGCTTTAAACTTACAATTTTTAGATAAAAATTTTTCTCTAGGTAACTATGTTATCTTTTGTCCAAAATATATGACATTTATATTCAAAATATTCCTGGTCTTACAAGGAATCCAGCAATGTCAATTATATTTTCCTAACTTTAGTTTGAGGTTATCCCACACATCTCCTTGGGACGGTTGGTGGGGGGTGGGGGTGGGGGGGAGGGAGGGACCGACCGACCATCTGTTAGCCGGCTGTGTAGTGTGAGAGGGGGAGGGAGTTGAGTCCATTATTTGAATGGACATTAACTTGGCGACTGTATTTCTCTATTTCTCTTAAGTATTAATTGTGTGCATGTACCATCATAAAATTAAGATGTTATTTTTACTACAACATAGGTATGTGCCTTCAAAAAGTGGAGTTTGGGGGTCGGGCCGGTTTCTATTGGAATTAATCCCATATGTTCTGTTGTTCACTTAACGCGGATTTCACTTAACGCGGGACCCTCTGGGTTCAATTGACGCGTTAAGTGGGGTTTAACTGTGTGTATATATATATATATATATATATATATATATATATATATATATATATATATATATATATATATATATATATATATATATATATATATATATATATATATATATATATATATATATATATATATATATATATATATATATATATATATATATATATATATATATATATATATATATATATATATATATATATATATATATACACATATATATACGTATAGTGATCCCTCGGTTAACGAGCGCCTCGGTTCACGAGTTACCTTCCTTAAGATTCTTAACTTCGGTTAACGAGCAATCCCTCGATTAACGAGTTTCTTACGAGCCGACCTCAACATGTTTTCGCTTGCATTTGGCGGTCCACCAGCTGTAGTATTAATCCGCCAATACAGTAATCGGTTCTAGGGCTTAAATTCCTTAACATTTTAGTAAATATAAAGGTTGTACTATTCAATAATTTTAAAAGTTTTATATTAAATTTTTTAGTCATTTTAACAATTATTGAACATAATTGAAGTATAGGAAGCTAGTTTTTTGCGTGCCATACAGCCTGTCAACACACCATACAGGCATCAGTCTCTGTGTCTTTTCAGTGGAGGAAATATCTTGCTTGAGACTCTCTTCAACTAAATGCTTTTTTTCTGTGCTTCCAAGCAAATTATTGGTCAATTTGAAATTTATTTTACATATTGACAATATATAATGCAGTGCAGTGTTGATTTAAGAAAACAATCTTGAATTCACCAAGCGAACTAAAATTTTATGGGTGAAATGGCACCATGGGGTGACTTCTCTTCCACCCCAATGCCTTCTCTTCTCCCTTCTCCTCCACCCCCATTCTAATTCCCATCCTCAACAACCAGGAGCCTTCTACATGCACACCTCAAAGTAAGTATACTTTATTACCTTTTTTGCTGATCTTAGGCAATTTTCGGTGAGCTGGAACCAATTACCCAAAACCTATTGAAACAATGGTTTCGGTTAACGAGCAACCTTCTAATACGAATTGTGCTCGTTAACCGAGTGACCACTGTGTGTGTGTGTGTGTGTGTGTGTGTGTGTGTGTGTGTGTGTGTGTGTGTATGTATATATACATACATATATATATATATATATATATATATATATATATATATATATATATATATATATATATATATATATATATATATATATATATATATATATATATATATAGATAGATATAACCTAAACATCATGGGTGTTATGTTAATTAATACAAAATCAAATATCAATGGTGACCAGGTGGTACTGTACACCACAGCCATACAATGTTCACACATGTGTTCATGTGTTAAACCTTTCTAATGTATTGCTAAGACCTATCAAAGTTTATATCAACCTGACTGTAAGACTGGTGACTGTTAGATATTCCATTGATTTACTCTGTAAGCGACTACATCATGTGAAGACATCAACAGTTTGGGAGGGACCTGTGCGAGGCTATGGCCCTATAGCCAGCCTATTCTTTGATCTACTACGGCCTACTATAAATGATGTGCAAACGACAGCATAACTAACACACAGGCAATACAATATCGTGTTAGCATTATTAAGGTACCATAAGTCGCAGTAAATGTGTCCCACGGCTCTACATTGGAGGTGAACCTAATGTCTACGAGTAGAAAACTCTTACTGATTAAGTGTGAAATGTTAGTTCTTAATGATACATAAAAACACATAATATTATATCAGAAATAAAATACATCCCTTCAATATTAACTCTAGAATACTGTTGATATGATCAACTGCTATAAATGAATCCACCCCCGCCCCTCCTAGCAGTGACCCATCACTACCACACTGACACCACCTGAATATAGGACTATTAATACAATGTAATATAAGAGTTTTATTTTAATGGTGGAAAACGGCAAGCATAATATACAGACCGTAAGAGGCGTTATATATGAGGCAGATAGTGGTAGGCCTGTACCGTGAAGTGTGGTGTGTGGTGCTGTGGTAGAGGTGTGGTGCTGTGGTCGAGGAGTGTGGTGCTGTGGTCGAGGGTGTGGTGTGAGTGTGGTGCTGTGGTCATGGAGTGTGGTGTGAGTGTGGTGCTGTGGTCGTGGAGTGTGGTGTGAGGTGTGGTGCTGTGGTGGTGGGTGTGGTGTGAGTGTGGTGTTGTGGTCATGGAGTGTGGTGTGAGTGTGGTGCTGTGGTCATGGGTGTGGTGTGGGTGTGGTGCTGTGGTCGTGGGTGTGGTGTGAGTGTGGTGCTGTGGTCAGGTGGTGTGGTGTGGTGTGGGTGTGGTGCATGGGTGTGGTGTGAGTGTGGTGCTGTGGTCATGGAGTGTGGTGTGAGTGTGTGTGCTGTGGTGGGTGGTGTGGTGTGAGTGTGGTGTTGTGGTCGTGGAATGTGGATTGAGTGTGGTGTGGGTGTGGTGCTGTGGTCGTGGGTGTGGTGTGAATGTGGTGTTGTGGTCGTGGAATGTGGTTTGAGTGTGGTGTGAGTGTGGTGCTGTGGTCGTGGAGTGTGGTGTGAATGTGGTGCTGTGGTGGTGGAATGTGGTTTGGTGTGGTGTGAGTGTGGTGCTGTGGTCGTGGAGTGTGGTGCTGTGGTGTGGTGCTGTGGAGTGGGTGTGGTGCTGTGGTCGTGAGTGTGGTGCTGTGGTCGTGGGTGTGGTGTGAGTGTGGTGCTGTGGTGTGTGGTTTGAGTGTGGTGTGAGTGTGGTGTGGTGCTGTGGTCGTGGAATGTGGTTTGAGTGTGGTGTGAGTGTGGTGCTGTGGTCGTGGAGTGTGGTGTTGTGGTCGTGGAGTGTGGTGCTGTGGTCGTGGAGTGTGGTGCTGTGGTCGTGGCTGTGGTGTGAGTGTGGTGCTGTGGTCATGGAGGTTGTTTGTGTTAGTGGTTCAAGTACTTTTAGTCATGATAAAAGAAAGATGATGACTGTACATAATACTTACTTGTCAACTAAGATCCTTATAAGTGCCAAGGTGTCCAAAACATACTTGTCCGTGATGATAGAGAGCGCTGCACTGGTCATGCCATCCTCGCTTCCCTAAATATTCAAATAAAGTATCATTAGGAAAAATTAGCACTCGCCCCAACAAGTATCTTCACAGAGGCGGTCGATCAATTTCAAAATGAATGCTATAACTCCTGTTGTCTCGGTCGGGTAGTTAAAATCCTTCATCCGTTGTGTCATATACTGTACACGTGCTCCTCTTCTTAAGAACGTTCAACTTACAAACTTCCAGAGATACAAACATCATCACTGAGGGGGTTACCTGCCAGAACAGGTGTTTAATGTGGATGAGACTGAATTATTTTTAAGAAAATTCAAGACAGAACAAACATTACCTAAGAGGAGAAGAGTGAGCCAGGTTTTAAGGCTGTATTAAAGGGTATAGCTGGACTAAATATCCATAATCTTTTAATTTTTTACAATATGTTTGGTATCTACAAGAGTAAAGTTTGACTTACAAGCAATTGGACTTACAAACAAGCCTCAGGTACGTAACTCGTTCATAAGTAGAGGAGCACCTGTATTGTCTTACACAAAATTTTAAAAATACTTTTTTGAATCATTGTACATAAAATTACCATTATTATTGTACATAAAATTACCATTATTATTGTATATAAAATTACCATTATTATTGTATAGAAAATTACCATTATTATTGTACATAAAATTACCATTATTATTGTAAAGAAAATTACCATTATTATTGTAAAGAAAATTACCATTACAATAAGTTTTCCTAAACACTTAAAGTTGTTGGGGTCGGTGTGTTGATGTAGCACAAGCTACCTAACCACGCGGTCAGCCAACTGCTCTCTCTCTCTCTCTCTTGTCAAACCTCAAAGAGACCAGAAATGTTCAGAGGCGCTCCTGACTGATGGCCAGGCCATGTCTGTTTGCCCCCCCCCTCCCCCTGCTATATCCCAACTCCCTACCAACCTCACTACACCAGGATTTATCAGCAAAACATTCAAGTGATCAGTGCAATGATTGTTACCTAACAGTGATCCAATAGTGTATGCCAAGGAAAACCACAATCACGCAGCACGCAGCAGTGTAACACCAGACCGTGGGCACTCTGTCGGTCACCTTCAAAGTGCCAGTGACAAGGACCACCGCGGTGTTTACATATACCATAGGAACTGTGTCGGCGCCCCCTAAGTGCCGGACGAGACAAATATTAATAGATATCTACTAGTGTTGGTGGCCCTCAAAGCGCCGCCAGTGAGTTTATGGCCACAGTGGACAAACACTTCCGTCCGTCCACAACAACAGATATCAACAGATGGTCACCAATTACTTACTCCAGACATGCCCTGTACAGTCTAAAGCGTGGGAACGGTTATCCTGACGGCAGTGTTATCGCACAACTGAACATATTTCACTGAATTTATTTCATGCTCACACCCGCCAACGAGGACGTCATAAACAAAAGCTTATTAGAACTATCATTTCCACTAGAAAACAAGAGAAACCTACTCCTGACACACCATACCTCTACACTGAAGTCCCATGAATGTGGTATGGTCTACCCTCTCTACTACTCTCCAGCTGCATTTCCTTAGCTAATAAATTCGACAAACTGGCAACCACAGTCTGATCAGTCGCTGCCAACGTTGTCGCCATATGTGAAGCTTGGCAAATTGTTCCTGAAACGTGTCATAGTGAGGGATATCAACTCTTTCATCACCTTCATTCAGATGGACGCAGGGATGGTGTTGCCCTCTTCTGTCAAGATGACCTACGCCCGTCACGCCTGGATGTTCAAGTCCCAGCAGATGTGGAGGCATTATGGGTACGTGTTGTGCCATGTGCCCACCCATGCCACACTGCTTCTATCATAATCTGTGTGTCATACCATCCACCTCGCTCACCCACCAGACACCCTTATCAATCACCTCAGACCACCTAGAGTTAGGTACCCTTGTGCCAAGTTAGTATTAAGTGGGGATTATAACGAAATTGACACCACTGATATCCAGGACCAGCTGTCACTATCACAAGTTGTGAACTTCCCCACACACGGTCAAAATACTCTTGACCTTATCTTAACCGACTTAGCGGACCAGTACCAACCACCTCAACCAATGCCTCCTATCGGGTGTAGCACACACACCTATCAGTGCTCTGGTCTCCAGCTGCCACTCCCACTCAAGTACAGAGACCCTACATAAAGATCTACAGGCCGGTTACTGACTCTGCAGTGTGTCTCTTTGGGCAGTGGATAGTTCACCATCCCTGGACTGAAGTACTTAGTGTGGATGATGTGGACACTGTCAGATAGCTACAAGCATGGAATTGGCCGACAATAAACAGCCAGCCAGACAGACCATGTGACTCTTCATTCTCCCATTAAATAACCCAAGATACTACAGACACCAAATGGATAAATTATACCAACACCACCACGGAAACTCACCACCACTTCTTCCCCGAGAAGTCCGTCAGATCTCATCCAGCTGACTTGCCCTGGATCACACCTCGGATCAAATGACTTATGCAACAGAGAGACAGAGACTTTTATCTCAATGACCACAACCGCTACAGGTCCCTTAGCAACCAAGTCAGCCGCAAAATATGCACTGCAAAGAAGTCCCACTACCCAACCAAATTGCAACACCTGAAGCAGACCAACAACAGTCAGTGGTATGGTAAGCTTAAAGAAGTCTGTGGACTAAACAATAAGACACACCCCCTCCTCTTCCTTAGCCATCTCACTAATGTTGACGCAGCTCATCAATCAAACAACCATTTCGCAACTACCCTATATATGCCAGACGCTCCCCCGGCTTGACACAACCAATCTCTCTGCTTACCTACCAGCCCCCTTTCCCACTGACTTAGTGGAAGAATTTGAAATAGCAAAACGTCTGAACAAACCTAAGTTAAAGCGCTCCACCACCCCCATTGACTTACCAATGAAACTCTTCAAGGAGTTCTCCCCGGAACTAGCCAAACCCTTCTGCTCCATCATCAATGCTTCCCTCAGCCAAGCCAGATGCCCAGCTGAGTGGAAGACCTCATATGTGTCACCAGTGCCCAAGTCAACCAGCCCACAGTCTTTAAATGAGCTACGACCCACTGCCATCACCTCAATGCCCAACTTAATCTGTGAAAAGTTTCGTGTTTGACTGGGCTTATGCTGATATTGCAGGCGCCGTAGATCCTCAGCAATTTGGTAATATGAAAACTTCCTCCACCACTCACTGTCTTGTCAGCTTTCTCGACTACATATACCGCCATCTGGAAAAACGAAAAACGTCTGTGGCTGTCGCCTTCATTGACTTCACCAAGGCATTTGACCTAGTCTATCACAATTTCATCATCAACAAAGCTATCGACCTCGGGTTTCGGAGAAGTCTTTTACCATGGCTTACAGACTTCCTTAGTGACAGACACCAAGCTGTACGTTTCTGAGGGACTGTCTCCACCTTTCAGTCACTCACCTGTGACGTCCCCCAAGGCACCAAGATGGGACCACTCTGCTTCCTTATGCTTATCAATGATGCCCTAAGAGAAACCTCTGCTCGCTGGAAATATGTCGACGACTCCAACATTGGGATCAGCGTCAACAACTCAGCTCCCGACTATACCGCCCTCCAGGATTTATTGAACAGCATCCAAAGTTGGGCCACTAACAATCACGTCACCATCAACCATACCAAGACCATGGTTATGCACATCAACCTCTCCTCCAACATTGTCCTACCCCTTTCCATAACTTTAGGTCCCAACACACTTCAGGTTATAGACTCCACTAAGCTCCTCGTTGTCACCAAAGACAACAAACTAAACTGGAAAACACACGTCAGTGAAGTTGTCAAATCCTCCAGTTTCCGTCTCCACCTCCTCCACTGACTCAAGTCCCTCGGAGTTCCTGCCCCCGAGCTCCTCAGTGTTTACTCAACATTCATACTTCCCAAGCTTACCTATGCCTTCCCTGCCTAGTCTTCCTCCCTAAATGCCACACAACGTAAACACCTAGAAAAAGTGCAAAAGAGGGCATGCAAGATTATTCTCTCCCCTTCTTACTCCACATATCAAGAAGCGCTCAACACACTGACCCTCTTGGGTCTCTCTGACCATCACCACGGCCTCATCTGCAAATTTGGTGAGAAGCTTCTGCACCATCCTCGACACCAGCTCCTACTACCACCTGAGATCCCTTGTCCGAGAATTGCTGTTCGACACCACAACCAGCCCATACGAGCAAGAAATGATCGCTATAAGAACAGCCCAGTCCCAACCATTGTAAAAATTATCAATAATTTGTAATCAACCAGTGTATTCACTCCCAGTTCATCTTACTTTTTGCACTGTCACTATGTTGAAATGCCCTGTAGTATGACCTTCTCCCCACCAGGTCATTATATATCATATTTGTATCACATATGTTACCTGTAGAGCAGTGGTTCTTAACCTGGGGGGGCATCAGTAATTTCCAGGGGGGGTGCAAGCCCTAGGGAAAAAGTAGGAATTTCTCTAATTATTACTATAGTTTTTATTCTCTTAACAAGAGCCTGGGCTAATATTGAGAAGTTTATGAAAAAATGCAAAAGTATCGCCTTATAACTTTAGTTTTCTATAGGCTACTTTTTTGACTTAGGGCTTACCATTTTCTGTACTTATTGACCCCCCTCCCTATCCCTCGAAACCCATGGGGGGGGGGGGTTAACTCGTCCTGGACCTGTATACTGCTCGTTGGTGACTGGTGAGCCCCGTTCTCTCCCAGTCTTCTGCACACGTCCGTGGCAATAATTCCTCTTCTCTCACATTTATTCAGTTAAGGCTGTTGAGGTATGTTTTATCCCAGTTGTTATATTTACCTAAAAATAGTAAGCAGCCATAAGTTTATTGGTGAATTGTGAACAAGCATGTGTTGCTCTGTTGGTTATTCGCAAGTTTTGAATTCCGTTTGTATTTTATCAGAAGTTGGTGGTGCTTAAAATCATGTGGTGGTAACAGGTGGTTATGGTAAAGTTGTATTTATGATGATATTGATTTGTTTCTAAATAATCATGTGTTTATGATCA